CTTGTTGCCATAATCTTGGTTTTTTTGACGTTTAGCTGCAACCCGGATTTTGCGCTTTCTTCTTTCACCTTGATTAGAAGGCTCCTCAGCTCCTCCTCGCTTTCGGCCATCAGAGTGGTGTCATCTGCATATCTGAGGTTGTTAATGTTTCTTCCAGCAATTTTCACCCCAGCTTTGCATTCATCCAGCCCCGCACATCGCATGATGTGTTCTGCATACAAGTTAAAAAGGTTGGGTGAGAGGATGCAGCCTTGCCGTACGCCTTTCCCAATCTTGAACCAGTCTGTTGTTCCGTGGTCAGTTCTGACGGTTGCTACTTGGTCCTTGTACAGATTCCTCAGGAGAGAGACAAGGTGGCTTGGGATGCCCATCCCACTAAGAACTTGCCACAATTTATTATGATCCACACAGTCAAAGGCTTTAGAATAGTCAATAAAACAGAAATAGATGTTTTTCTGAAACTCCCTGCCTTTCTCCGTTATCCAGCGGATATTGGCAATTTGGTCTCTCATTCCTCTGCCTTTTCTAAACCCAGCTTGAACATCTCGCAACTCTCGCTCCATGTATTGCTGGAGTCTTCCTTGCAGGATCTTGAGCATTACCTTACTGGCATGAGAAATAAGGGCCACTGTACGCAAGTTTGAGCAGTCTTTCGCATTTCCCTTTTTTGGTATGGGGATATAAGTTGATTTTTTCCAGTCTGATGGCCATTCTTGTGTTTTCCATATTTGCTGGCATATGGCATGCATCACCTTGACAGCATCATCTTTTAAGATTTTAAACAGTTCAGCTGTGATCCCGTCGTCTCCTGCTGCCTTGTTGTTAGCAATGCTTCTTAAGGCCCATTCAACCTCACTCCTCAGGATGTCTGGTTCTAATTCATTCACCACACCGTCAAAACTATCCTCAATATTATTATCCTTCCTATACAGATCTTTTGTATAGTCTCGCCACCTTTTCTTGATCTCTTCAGCTTCTGTTAGGTCCCTGCCATCTTTGTTTCTTATCATACCAATTTTTGCCTGAAATTTACCTCCAATGTTTCTAATTTTCTGGAAGAGGTCTCTTGTCCTTCCTATTCTGTTGTCTCCTTCCACTTCCATGCATTGCTTATTTAAAAATAGTTCCTTATCTCTTCTGGCTAACCTCTGGAATTGCGCATTTAACTGGGCATATCTCCCCTTATCCCTGTTTCCTTTTGCTTTCCTCCTTTCTTGGGCTACTTCCAGTGTCTCAGCAGACAACCATTTTGCCTTCTTGGCTTTCTTTTTCTTTGGGACGTACTTTGTTGCCGCCTCCTGAACAATGTCGCGGACTTCTGTCCATAGTTCTTCTGGGACTCTATTTACTAAATCTAGTCCTTTAAATCTGTTCTTCACTTCCACTGCATATTCGCTAGGAATGTTAGTGAGATCATATCTTACTGGTCTGTGTGTTTTCCCTGATCCTTTTAGTTTTATTCTAAATTGAACTATAAGAAGTTTGTGATCTGAACTACAGTCAGCCCCAGGTCTTATTTTCACTGACTGGATGGATGTCCACCACCTTTGACTGCAAAGGATGTAGTCAATCTGATTTCGGTGCTGACCATCTGGTGAAGTGCATGTATAAAGCCGTCTTTTAGGTTGTTGGAAGAGAGTATTCGTTATACACAGCGAGTTTTCCTGGCAAAATTCTATCAGCCTGCGTCCCGCTTCATTTTGTTCTCCCAGACCATGCTTGCCTGTGATCCCTGTTGTCATTTGACTTCCCACCTTGGCATTCCAGTCGCCTGTAATGAAAATAATGTCTCTTTTTGGTGTATTATCCAGTAGGTCCTGCAGATCCTCATAGAACTGATCTACTTCTGCTTCTTCAGCAGCTGTGGTTGGGGCGTATATTTGGATCACTGTAATGTTGAAAGGCTTTCCTTGCACTCGAATTGAGATCATTCTGTCATTTTTTGGGTTGTATCCAATCACCGCTTTAGCGAATTTCTTATTAATTATGAAGGCTACTCCATTTCTTCGATGTTCCTCTTGTCCGCAGTAGTAGATCTGGTGGTCATCTGATGTGAAGTGGCCCATTCCAGTCCATTCCAGTTCGCTGACCCCCAGAATGTCTATCTTTAGTCTTGACATCTCACCAATAACAACATCCAATTTGCCCTGGCTCATAGATCTTACATTCCAGGTTCCTATGGTGTGTTGATCTTTAGAGCATCGGATTTGTCGTTCACCTCCAGTACCGTCGGCCGCTAGCCTTCCTTTCGGCTTTGAGCTAGCTGCGTCATCACATCTGGGGCTAGTTGAACTTATCCTCTGCTCCTCCCCAGTAGCATTTTGGCCATCTTCCGACCTGGGAGTCCCATCTTCCAATGGCATACCGACATATCTCTGTTGTACTGGTCCATTTAGTTTTCTTGGCAAGGATACTGGAGTGGTTTGCCCTTGCCTTCCCCAGGGATCACGCTTGGTCTGACCTCTCTGCCACAACCGTCCCGTCTTGGGTGGCCCTTCACGGTTTCGCTCATGACATCATTGAGGTGCTCAAGCTCCAGCGCCCCGACAAGGCGGTGATCCTTTGCTGGAGGCTATCTAGTTAGCTCTCCCATTTGTCCCTGCTCATCAAATGACTATAATTTGAAAATGCCAGAAGAATGGCATATTTGTACAACATCCCCCCCCCCCCAAAAAAGAAACATAAACTGAATCTAACTCTGGGATATGTTCATGTACGTTACAAGTAGGATTCTAGCCATACTACAGAACTGTTCTAGTAACAGTTTTTTCTTAACACTTTCCCCCCAAATTAAATGTCTTTTGTTACCACTTCGAGCACAGCGTACAGCACATCTTGCCAAGGTCACACTGTATTATTGGATAATGTATATAATATTCCTGGCAACCTAATCTGTGGTACCAGAAATTGTGCTTCCAAGATCATGTTTTCTTTGTATTGTGAATAAAATTATCTCTCCCTAACTTGTTCAGAGATGACATCCAATGTTATTATAATAACAACTTGTATGAATTAAAAAAAGGTTTCATGTGGGTTTTATTCACATGAAACATGGCGTTAGATATGTGAGTATAGCCTGTGAATGAGAAAAATGATCCCCAGACGCAGAAGTTTTCCATCCCAATGTAGCCTCACTTTCTCCATAGGTTCTGCAGCCTGGAGAAGGAATCTAAAGCCCCTTCCACACAGCTGAATAAAATCCCACATTATCTGCTTTGAACTTGAATATATGGGCATGTGGACTCAAATATCTCAGTTCAAAGCAAATATTGTGGGATTTTCTGTCTTGATAGTTCTGGGTTGTATGGCTGTGTGAAGGGCCCTAAGACTTCTTCTTACTGCCTTCAGGTAAATAAAGGGTGCTATGACTTCCAGACCAGGGTGTGCAGTTAATCAAAACCTATAGGTTGAAGTGGCATAGATATATACAATCCACCTGCAATTTTGTAAAAGGATGGTTTCTTTCAGGAGATCTAGGCAACTGAAAGATCTTTAATCTCGGGAAATTTGAAATGATCTTTATATAGACTTGTGTAGCATTCAGTCTTGAGCTGGCCTAACAATAGGAAGCATTGTCCTGTATTGCTGTTTGAAAGACTTAGCAAATCTAATGGTGGTGAAACTTTTTTTCTCCACTGAAGCCCAATTGTGCACTCAACAGCCTGACGTTCTCAGTGGGCCTACCTTCCAACCCAGGGACACACTTTGACTTCTGTAGCAATAAACTATATTACAGCATGCAGTCCAATACAGCCATTATTTTCCTTTAGTTCTCCCTTCCCAAATCAAATTAAGGTAATCTAGGTTAAGGTATTGTTATCGTCATATTGTAGATTGTGATCAGCAGCCATAAGAGAGGGAGGCTTGCTTAAATCCAGGAGTGTTCCCTTTTTCACACTACATAGTTCTAGCATCATGATTCCACTGTCATTGCCATCATTCTATCCTATGGTATCCGGAGGTTTGTAGTCTGGTGATCCACTGTTGCTCTCTGGTTGAGATTTCTAAATTCCTATCCCTAAGTTACACATTGGAAGATACCAAAGGATGTTGCCATAGCTGTGAAAGTGGAATGATAGTACTATAAGTGTGCAGTGTGTCTCCTATATGGAACCCAGTTTCTTCCAGAACAGGTTGAATTCAAATCCCTGATCACCTTTGTTTCATCAGGATTTAGTCTGAATTAGTTTGCTTTTCTTAAAGTTGAGTATCATTTAAGAATATCAGCTGCCTCCTTGGTATTAGGTGAAAAGAAACAGTAAAGTCTTGCCTCATAATATATTGGTATAACCTCACCTCAAACAGCCAGTGTCTTCATGCAAATCATGAACAATGTAGGGGCTAAAAACAGTCTTCTTCTTATGACTTGGAAATGGTAATCTACAACCAGTTTTGGGATGAAACTTGATGTAAAGACCAGAACTCACTGCAATCCAGAATGCTAAAATCCTATCTGGTTCATTTCAGCATAAATGTTGCAAGAGGGTGTGTGTGTGTTTTCCTATTACTAGAGACCACAGATCTTTTCCTAAAAGCAGATGTGACTGTGCTTTCATGCCAAAGCATATAGATGAAGTAAGAATGGCGCAGTGCTTGAGAAATATGTGAGCCGTGTGTGAAAAGGTCTAACGCAATATCCATATCTTTCATGTGTGTCTCCTTTCACCCTTAGTCAGTGTGATTTACTAAAACATAATAAATCCCTTGAGGTAAGCAGTGCTAAAGTAATGTTGTGGTTTATGCACTGTATTTCCTACAAATAGGAAGCAACTGAATAGTCAAAGAAAACCAGTATTGCGAGAGCAAATGCTATAGTGCCTGATGAAGTAATGTGTGTTTCCAAACATCATTTATCAAACCTGAGGCAAAGTTGCCCAAGGGAGGAGAATCCATGCATAATATTATTGCTACATGCATAATTATGCATCTTGTTCATAATGTTTTTGCTCAGTCTCTCACTTGCCTGTGTTTCTTTTTCTGCCTCTCTATCCATGGTGTAGTGGATTTTGCTCTGAAGGTGGTGCAATGGTCAGATTCGGAGACAGTGAGGCTGCAGTTGTGGGACATTGCAGGTGAGCTCCTGAAAATCTCCTTTTTCGTGTGTCAATGGCTCCTCCCTCCCAATTTGTTTCTTTTTGACTTTGAAAGATTACTTTTAAAAGGAAGAAAAAAACCATATTGCCCATCACAAGTTTTGGGGGACAATACGTACCTCTTTGTTGTGTTGTGATTTGTACAGATTTCTGGATAAGACTGGAAATGGTACCCCTTAGAAACGCTTTGAGAAAGGTGTTGGGTGACTGGTTCATACTATCAAGATTTACTAAGTTGTATATGGACAACTAATATTCAAACAATTTGTGATGGTAGTAGTTTTGACCTGTCTAGTGAGATACAGACTAGGAACACAGATTTGAACAGTAATATTAAGACAAAGCATCTTCTCTGTCACTAGGCCTCCTATATGAGCCCACACCAATTGGTATAGTAAGAATGAGTGAGCGCATAGTAGATTGAAATCTACTGACAGATCTCTGGGGGCCCTGGATGATTAGTAATAGATTGGCAAAGGTTTATAGTTCCCATGAAACTCTTATTTCGATGACAGAAATGAATTAAATAAGAGACAGTACATTTTTGTGTCATAGAATTGTGATCTTTGTTGTGTTTTTACTACCAGAGATCTTTAAACAAACTCATAGATACCTTAAACCATAAAACTTAAGGCACTGATGTGAGTCATCTTGCTTCCTCTCTTCCCTATTGTTCTTGCTAGGCATCAGATAATAAGTTGGAGAGAGTAATGTGGCAAGGCTCCATTTTGAGTTTCTTAAACTCACATCTCCTTTATCTAGATTTGGAACAATTTAAGATGGGATACAAAGGGGGAGGCTCACTGCATTTGAATCTGAGAATCACTACCTTAGAGCCGTAGCAAACTACTGGAAGCGAGAGCGAGCTTGTGCTCGAGCTCGCTCCGAAGCCCCGCCTTTTTTCCCCCAAGGCTGCTCTCTCTCTTGCTAGTGTGCCTGTTTTCCCTTGCTAGGGAAGCGATGCGAGTGTACTCTCGCAGTTGGCAGAATTCAACTGTGAGCGTACGCTCGCATCCCTGCCCTCTGCAATGGAAAACAGGTACGCTAGCAAGAGAGAGAGCAGCCTCGGGGGGGGGGGGGGAAGGCGGGGCTTCGGAGCAAGCCCGAGTGCAAGCTTCCTGTAGTTTGCTGCGGCACGAGCGTACGCTCGCAATGCTGCCCTAGCAAAGGGAAATAGGCGGAGAAAGAGGCGGAGAATCGCTCGTGCTGGCTTAGTTTGCTCTCGCAAAATCCTAGTTTGCTACGGCTCTTAAGGTCATGAGTAAACACCTCTTTCTTAAATCTCTAGGTCAAGAACGGTTTACATCTATGACTCGACTGTACTATAAGGAGGCATCTGCCTGTGTTATCATGTTTGATGTCACCAGTGTGAGCACATTCACCAGCTGCCTGAAGTGGAAGCAGGATTTGGACAGCAAGCTGAGGCTACCAGATGGAAACCCTGTCCCTTGTCTGCTACTAGCTAACAAAGTGAGTATCTGTGAATTGGATAGAACCAACCTTTCTACCAGGTGATTATAAACACAGCTTGGAAAAGTTGATGTTTGGACTATAACATCCAGAATCCCCTAGCCTCTGGCCATATTGACTCAGGGATCCTGGTAGTGAAAAAAGTAACTTTTCCAAGCTCTGATTATGTGTGGTTAGCTAAGATTCCTGCTTGGATAAGTCAAAGACGGTGGTGGGAATCATTTGGCCTTTCAGATGTTGTTAGATGTCATTTGCACCATTCTGAGAATCATAGAATCAGAAAGGATCACAGGCTTATTCAGACCTGGGTTTGGTTTCCAAACTTTATATCATTTTGATCGCCCTCCTCTGAAGATGTTCCAGCTTGTCAATATGCTTTTGAATATATTTCTTGCCAATGATTATGTTGGGCCACATCATTCCCACCCCTGTTTTAACATGGTTGTACCTCAAAAATGGGATCTGTTTGTCAATGGTTAATATCTATATAGTGTTGTTGAATATTTCTGCTGCATGAAATAAATCACTGTAGATGCTTTGACTCCAGTTTCCTTGGTGTAATTTTGCCTGTCCTTGACAACCGAGACAGGTTTTTTTTTCCTGATGCTCACTGTCCTACTTTTAAATGAGTGCCATAGTCTAGTCTTATAATTTTATTTTTATCGTCAAAAGCACTTTCAATTTTTGCATGCTTTCAGTTGTTGTTTATTCATTCAGTCGCTTCTGACTCCTTGTGACCTCCTGGACCAGCCCATGCCACCCTCAGTTCCTTCAGGGTCAAACCAGTCACTTCAAGGATACCATTCATACATCTTGTCCTTGCTTGGTCCCTCTTGCTTTTTCCTTCCATTTTCCCCAGCATCATTGTCTTCTCCAAGCTTTCTTGTCTTCTCATGATGTGGCCAAAGTACTTTACCTTTGCCTCTAATATCCTTCCCTCCAGTGAGCAACTGGGCTTTATTTCCTGGAGTATAGACTGGCTTAATCTTCCTGTGGTCCAAGGCACCTTCAGAATTTTCCCCCAGCACCACAGCTCAAAAGCGGTTATTCAGATCCCACCTCTAAACATTTGACCTCCTACAAAGGAAAGGATTTTTCCATTTTAGAGAAAGCCTGAGTCTGGGGGCTATTTCTGCAGCTCCCCAAATCCCCCATTATTTGAAAAGGTTCCCAAAGTGCTCAGGTGCATATTTTCAAGGGTACCGTGGGCATGGCAAGAGGAAGTAGGGATTGGAAACAAACTCATCATAGCAGTTTACCTGTGGAAAAAAGGTGGAATAAAAATATTTTTATCTGAGTTTAATGTGTGAGTAATAATAATACTAGATCTTTATTTGTATTCTGCTTTTCTGCCACAAAGGGACCCAAAGTGGCTTACAACCTATTAAAAGCAATACAAGTCCAAAACAATCAGCATATATAACACATTAAACCATCTATAAAATAAAACATAAATAAGCACATTTATTACTGATTCATAATTAGTTCTTTAAGTGTGTATATAAAGTCTTTGAATGGTAAGCTTGGCCCTAAAAAGGAGACTGGTGAAACTGCGCTTGGAGAATGTACCCCTTTGCCATCATTATCTGACCTAATTCTGTCTTACCACAAGATCTTTAAAGATTCAAAGCTATTGAAAAGTAAAGGCAGCATAAACACTTTGCCTGGAGGATGGTAGGATAAAGAATTGTCAGGTGACTTTCTATTTTTACCAAAGACAATTTAGCAATAATTTTGACTCTTCTGTTTCTGTATGTCTGTAAAAGAAAAATACAACTTTCAAGTATAGAGTGATAGTGAACATCGCAGAATGACAGAGGCAGGTTGGACAGTCTCTTCAGTAGGGTGTTGGTCATTAGGTCTTCTCTGCTTAACTGGCACAGTTGTCCTGGGTAAAGTGACATAGAGAAAGGAAGACACGGTCCGAGCTCCTTAGAGGGAAACCAGTGGTTTGCAAGAGTGGTCTCAACTGGAATTGGATATCCCTATAGTTGTATCCCCTGCTTACAAAGAGAAACTGCCATCCACCACTGGACCAGAACTTCCAACAAGTTGCTTTTTTGGGCCATGCCTTTCAGAATTCCTCATGACTGAGGAACTGTGAGGGTTATAGTCTCCAAAAAAAGGAACTCTTCCAACTGTCCACTAGACACATGCCATGTTATATTAGTCAAATGACTGCACTGCTTGTCACATGCAAAAGGAGGACATACTGCAAGAGGCGAGACAGCAGGGAGTTAATGGACCAGCTGAACAAAGCTACAGAGGTGATACAAAACAAATTTTGATTGTAATATTGATGACTATCTTTATGCCCTGTATTTCCACAACACATTTTACAAATTAAACATATAACAATGTAGTTAAAAACATACCCCAAATCAATGTTAAAATAGATTTAACTGTTAACAATATTAAAATAATTGGTACTGTTCCATTATACAGGCAGAGGCCACAAGGGGGCACAAAAGAGAGAAGGATAGTCTATTTTAAGGGGTGGAAGGTGGGTTGAAGTAAGGAGGGAAACCATTTTCCCTTGTTTTCCTGTTATTCCTCCACCCATGTCCCTGTCTTGGAAACTACCCTTGTTTATGAAAATTGGGGGGGGGGGGGTGGAGGGAGGGGGAATAACCAGTGAGCACAGAGAAAATGGTTTTTCTCCTTCAACCACCCCCCCCCCCTAGAATGGACTGTCCTTCTCTCTCTAGCACCCCTTTGTAGACTCCGCCTGGATAATGGAACAGTAACAAATAATTTTAGAAGGATAAACACCAGTTAGAACAATACAATTTAGGTCCTTTCCTTAAAAGCCTTCAGTTCTAAAACCCTATTGAAATTTAAAAAAAACCTTTCACCTGCTGATAGAACAGCAGCAAAGTGGGGTCTATTCCCGCCTCCGTAGGAAGGGAGTTCCAGAGCCTGGTCGCAACCAACAAGAAGACTCTACTGATCTAATTTTTCTGTCAACTGAACCTGTGAAGATGTCGGGACTGAAAGAAGGTTCATTTGCACATCTAAGGGATCTGGGGAATCTGGTAAATGTCTGTTAGATAGCCTGGACCTAGGCTGTATAAGGCTTTATAGGTCAGAGCCAGCATTGCCAACCCAGGCTCTTTGGGAATTCCTACCAAGGCTTAAAATACACAAAAAATCTTCAACAGAGTATGTGTTTATAACGCCAAAGGAAGAATGTGTCAAAAGAAGGCATGTCAAGGGACTGCCTTACATCTGGAAATCTATGCCCTCACTGTGAAAGAGCATACAGATCAAGAATAGGTCTCCACGGCCACCTACGGACACACTGCCAAGACCCTACACTTGGAAGGCAATCATACTTGGTCATGAGGGATCGCCTATGATGACAGCACCAAGCATTCTGCCTCAAAACATTACACAGAAAGTGGACATTCCCAATACCAAAAAAGAAAAAAAGCAATGGGGGTGTCTTGCATAGGGAAGAAAATGTATTATTCATAAAGTTAGCTAGTTCTTTCATCTCAGATAAATATTTCTTCCTGTTTTTCTCTAATAATGTTAGAATGGTTCTAAATTTAGGGCAGCACAAATTAAGGACTTCTTTGTGCAGGATATCTTTAAACTAGGATTTCACTACCATAAGATGGGACGATGACCACCCACTTGGATAACTTTAAAAGAGGGTTAGGCAAATTTGTGAAGGATATGTCCTGTCAATAATTACCCACCATGGTGGCTGTATATTTCCTCCAAGGTCAGAGTTGTCAGAGGCATCTATCAACTCCAGCGGGCAGGGAACGTGAATCAGCAGGCACTGCTCCCCTCATCTTCTGCTTCTGAGCTTCCTCAAGGCATCTGTTTGTCTACCATGTGAACAGAATGCAGGATGAGATAAGCCATTGGCCTCATCTAACATGGCTGCTCTTTTGTTCCTATGAGTGGGAGAAAGGTTGTTTATATCACAGACAAAACAGACACAGATACCCCATGAATTACCTGGCTGATACAGTAATATACCTTGACACAAGAGTTATAGCATATATGTAAAAAAGGAAAGCCCCTTTTTTGTATGGATAGCACTGTTGCCTGACAGCCTTTTGGGAACTGCAAAAATGGACAATACACCGTACAATTCATTTCTTTTTATCTAAATCTGTTTTAATTTTTGTAAGGCAGTTTGAACTCTAGTTAAGGAAGAAGGTGGAATAGTAAAGAAATAAAAGCATTGCCTTATAACCAGTATGTCTTGGCATGTGAAGATTTATGAACAAAAAGGAAAAAGAAATGAATTCTTCTAATGGTACTTTAAAAAAGCGATTCAAATGTTCCTGGGTTCCCATTTGCAGTGTGACCTTTATCCTTGGTCTGTGACTAGAGAAGAAATCGATCAATTCAGCAAAGAGAATGGATTCACTGGATGGACTGAAACATCTGTCAAGGAAAACAAGAATGTAAATGAGTCCATGAGGTAAGCAAAATTAAAATAGTTTCTTCATATGCATGTGGGCTTCTGAGCATGGGCGATTGTTCATATGTGATGGATTAATACCAGTGTTTATGTATCTAAAGGGGATGAGAACTTTTCATTTTGATGTGATATTCAGGCTAGGGTCTGGCTACATTTGGAGTGAGGCTGACATCAGGATCCTGGCATCAGCATGGTTTAAACAAGATTGTCACAGTCTTGGGTGATAGTGAGAAACTGGTACATTATAAATGTTTCAGTTTTGGTGATGAAAGAACCTTATACATTCTATAAGTCAGATCCAATGAAGTATGCAAACCTTTTTTATCTGAGTGCATGGAACTTGTTTTGGGCACCTTTTGGTTTATATTGTTGCTACTGTTTATGTTGTCTGTCTGTTTAACTGAGTGCATGGAACTTGTTTTGGGCACCTTTTGGTTTATATTGTTGCTACTGTTTGTGTTGTTGAGTGCCTTCAAGTGCTCTTAATATCTGGTCTTTCTTTCAGTGAGTTCAAGGAAATGTATATGGTTCTTATCTTCCCCTTCATATCATCCTCACTACAATTTTGCAAAGTAGAGCTGGTTGATAGAAGGAGAGTGGCCCAAGGTCATTCCTTGAGTTTCAGGGTTCAGTGTACACAAGAATCTGGATCTCTAATCCCAATCCAATGCTCAAAACTACCACTCTCATATTCTCAAGAAGGCATACTTTTTCCAAAGGTCAACTTTAGAGTTGAATATCATACCTGTCATCCTTCTTTTTAATGTTCTGAGATAAATGATGCAGCACTAACAGTGCTGTGCCCATTCTAATAATCATACAGTGCTCATATAGAGCTCTTTCTATGCTCATATAGAAAAAAAAAATCCAGGCTGGAGAGGTTGCAACTGTAAGGTCATAGATGGCCTTTCTTGGAATCCTGCTAAAAGAGGGTCTTTCTACACAACCATATATCCCTGAAGATCAAGGCAGAAAATCCCATGTTATCTGAATGTGGACTCAGATAGCCCAGTTCAAAGCAGATATCGTGGGATTTTCTGCCTTGATATTTTGGGATAGAGGTCTATGTGGAAAGGCCCTGAGAGGCCTGAGGTTTTCTTTTTGTGATTTAATTCTTTTTCTCTGTAGGGTCCTTATTGAGAAGATGATGATGGCAACCACAACATCACTGAGTGACAGAGATATCTCTATTTCAGGCCAGGGAGACTACATCAATCTAAAAGATGCAACTACGTCCAATTGGGGATGCTGCTAATTGCATGTGCTTCTGCATCTGATCACAGATCAAGGGTACTTTTCAGATAAATACATCTAGTGTTTTTACAGAGTCATAGCAAGTTTCCTTTACACATTTGTGAGCAGTGAAGGAGAAAGAAGCCCCTCAACCTAGCAGATATAATTGAAACCACTTCCTTTGTTCTTCTGATGTGATCCACCAGTAATACCCTATTGAACACTGCGACCTTGGTAAAGTCAAGAAGGTCTTATATTCCGCTCATTGCTGGTTCCTCTGCAGTTGAAGGGAAAGTCTCCACTCCAGTTAATCCAAGATGTTATGGCAGAAGAAGTTCTTATAGGAATCTTTCAGCAGTCCTAAAACAAAGCCGAAGGAATCTGTGACTAATGCGCATGCACACGTGTTTTGAACCAGATTGCCTTTGATTTATCATCTCTAGAAATGTGCTTCGGACTGTAACCCAGCTGCAGAATTCATTCACCACAACTCGCGGGAAGGTGCCATTTCTTGCCATGGGAAACCTATTGCCTCTTCTGTATGTGCCTTTCTCTTTTGCCAAAGACTACAAGTTTTAAATTGAACTCTGGCCTTTTTTTGTGTCCCTGTTTTTATGTGGGTTGCACAGTTGTTCCTTTTCCTGGTGCCATTTTATCAGAGAACCCAACATTGAATTGAAGCGAAAGCTGTAAACTGTTTTGCATTGATGCACCTTAGCAGAGCACCAACCGTGTTCTTTGTTTTTTATAGTCCTTTCCTTCACAGCATCTAATTTGCCTCTTTCAAATTCTGATGAATTACTTCCTCTCAGCTGTCCTCCTGTGTGGGTCTCGGTTGCCATTATGCAATGCTGCCTGAAAGCCCACCCACTGGTTTTAGTGATCTGAGGGGGAACTCAGAATAAGAGGCCCAGCGAGACAAAAAGCAAGAGTTAAATTTCCCCTGCATCCCTTTGATAGCAGGTATTTTGCTATTTTAATGTTATGACAAGTGACAGACTTGTGTTTTTTTCTTGAATAAGGACAATTATACTTTAATTTCTTTTTTTTTTTAAGTGGCCACTTCGTAATTCAGGAGGGTTGAAATAACAGGGTGGTGAAATGCATTAAGGTGTCTGAATTTTTAATTTTCATTTTAAAATAAAAAGTTCAAGGTTGAATTCTTATGGGAAAAAGATACTGTGGATGAATAAGATACCTATGTGCTTGGCAATTTAGAAAGTAATTGGGAGACGGGTTAAGAATGACCTTTAAAGGTATGAACATTAGCCTTTATTAGTATGCAAGGAAAACCTTCACGGTAGCTGCAAATAGATATCAAATAATGTTGCAGATAATATTAGACTGTGGTGTATGTTTGCCAGATAAACAGATAACTCTTGACTGTTTTTTTAAACAAACTAGAAAGGGTACTAATTATTTTTCCATTACCCTTCCCCATGTAATATAAGTGTTGTGGGTTTATATTATGATATAAATTATAATAAAATATAGGATATTGAACAACTGCTGCTAAGAAAAGTTATGTGCACTGGATGGGGAAGTAGAATCACTTTTGATTTAGATCAAATTTTGAATGACATTAACTTTTGTTTATCACCAGTATTTTTTTAAAATGATTGAAGACTTACTGAATTTTTCTGCTGCATCTGAAAAATACTGTAAAAATGCAAAGCGCTGAGAAATCTAAGCTGGACCTTTTTTAAAGGGGCATCTTTATAGTATCCTAATATTTATCTGTAGACAAACAGCATTGTATAACTCAACTGCGAATTATACATTTAAACATCTCTTTTGACTATCTGAAGTGACACAAGAAAACTAATCTCAGGTTGGTTCTTTGTGAATCAGGCACACATTTTCTTCCTGAACCAGTAACTAAAATGGTTGGGAAAGGAGTTAAGTAAGAGCTGTCTAGAAACATTCACTTCACCACATATAATCTAGACAGTCTTTATGATACTGTCATTTTTAAAACTTAGTATATAATGGTAGGTTATGCCTTTTGTTCCATTCTTTTGTAAAGTATTATACAGCACAGAGTCTGTCTGGCAGAAATTTCTACTCAGTAACTGGAAGAAAGAGCCTTTGAACACATTTTTCAGATCATTCCAAGAGCATCTCTAACACAACACTGATCTCTATCAGAGCAATAAAACTACTTTCGGTAGTGAGGAATCAAACTTGGGTGTTGGGAGACAACCCAAGTTACTAACCTGTGGTACTTGGGTGTGGGGACGCATCTGTGACACTTGGGAACTCATGCACATTACTTTTTCACAAAGTGCCTGTTTTTGAGCCTTTCTAATAATTTACAAGCAAGGTTTTATTTCCAAAAAATTTAAAACACAAAAAACTTGAATAAACATTTAAAAGTCCTGGAAGCTAGGAAAACAACTGACTTCCTAAAGCAGTAGTTCTCAACCTATGTGTCCCCGGTGTTTTGATCTACAACTCCCAGAAATCCCAGCGAGTTTATCAGCTGTTAGGATTTCTAGGAGTTGAAGGCCAAAACATCTGGGGATCTACAAGTTGAGAGCCACTGCCCTAAAGAATTGCTTTGTTAGGACCAACTACAATACAAGATATGTAAATAAAACAAAAAAACTACAAGGGTTTAAAAATTAAGATAGTTCTTTGCAAAAGAAGTGATGTGTTTCTCRCRCCCCCCCCCCCCCCTTCTTCTCTGCATATGTATTTTGGTCCTGAGTCTCTGCAAATTTCTGTCATGAAACTCTTTGTCATAATGGAATTTGTCACTTGGTTTAAGGGCTGCTTATGTGGGCTTTTAAATTGCATGCACCTTTATAGATTATGGCACTCCATTATCTCTCATCAAATGCTATTGGGTTTGTTGCAGATGAAGTGAAAGCCATGTAAGTAGAGATGGATTCAAATGGCAGGGTTTTTTTTCTTCATTGGAGATTGTCCTCTATTTCCATTCATATGCAAAGAAAACCCATCTGGGAGCTGCAAGAAGAGGGCTGATTAAATGTATCTCAGGTCATAAATGCCGTGTACCTTATATATAGATGAGCCCTCTTCTTCTGCTCTTCGGCTTGTAACCTGTAAGACCTTTGTACATGATCATGTCTGTATAAGACTTTCCCATCTATTCTATTAGTATATTTAGGCTGAAGCAAAATGGACAGAAGTCCCACTACCAAACAAAACATGACATGATGTAGGATATTCCATAATGATACCATATTCTTGTAGAATCCACTATCCATGTGTTCACTCCTTCATGCGTCTGTATGACATAGAAACTCTGCTAAATTTGATTATTCAATTGAACACACAATGCACCGCCTCTTCCAAATTGGCTTTGTTGAACAGGGAAGGATGTCCCAGTGACATTTATTCTATGTTTGATCATATTTGCCAGGCTTCTTTTGTTTCTCATTAGTCTGGGTAAAAATAATTTTTAAATGATACTATATAATATAATATCTAGATATACATTACTTTAGTGTTAATTTTGTATGATTTTGACATCTGAAGTTATGCATTGCACTGGTGAACCTAAACATGCATTTAAATGTCAGTATTACCTTTCTACTTGTCAATTTGTTATCAACATTTTAGATTAATATTTTAATCTGGACTACACTGTATTTTTGTCCTTTGGAAAAAAAATTATTGTGACAAAAATGAAAAGGCATTTTGACATAAATATTGCATAAAGAGCAAGGGCAACACTGTGATCCCACCTTCATTCTTTTGTTTTCTATTAAAACACCTTTCAGCTACCCTTTAAAAATGCTACTAAAGTAATCAAACAATACTGCCAACACATAAAGGCACTTTAGTATTATTAAAACTATTTAAATGGAAATAATAACAAATCTGTTTAAAAATTGATTAAAAGCAGCATACTCAAAAATGTGTCATTTTCATGTGCAGGGATATATCGTGTATTGCCCACTAGTGCTGATGCCAAGTGACAAAAATGTTCTGTCAATCTTCCACTGAATTTTATGAAAAATCAATTCCAATTCTGCATACAGCTTATAGAAGGAAGACAATTGATAGTGCTAAGAATTATCTGTCTCAGGGTTTATTCTAAGGTTTTCTTACCACACAAGAAATCAGAATGCTGAACGAGGGAACTAATTGGGTTCTGTCATTGAGCAAAGACCCTGATCCCAATAGCCTTTAAATCCAGTGAGTTTGTGGTGTTTTGCCCAGTATCATACAGTGAATTGGAGTAAATGGAGACAACATTAATGTGACATTGACTGAAGACACATTAGCACTTTGCCTGAGCTGTGATGTGGTCCTTAACAGAACTCACATTGTTTATGCCATAGTGGAAATCACAGCAAAATCTGGTGATGAAAATTAATACTTTTTAGATGCCAGTGAACCCTACAACCATAGTATAAAAGGAGTACTCTGCAGTTTACAATTCTGGCAACAATGAGGTTGGATCCAGAGCAGCTAGAAATACAGTCAGCCCTCCTAATTTGCTGGTGTTATGGCCACAAAATCCCAGTGAAAGTGGAAAACAGTGAATAAAAAATCACAGTTATAGTGTTTCTTATCTATTATTAATATATACATTTCAATAAATATAATTTTAAAAAATTATCCTTTTTTTTAACCTGTAAAAATACCTCTCTAGGAATTTCTAGATCCTTGAGCATGATGCTATGGTCAATGTCCACTGGAAGCTGAGCACAAAATTGCACTGGAGGACCTAAAGAGAAATTTTTAATAAAATCAATAAATAATAAAATCAGCAAAAGTTGCAACCGCAAATGTAGAGGGTTGACTGTATCTTCATGGATATATTTTCTTTTCTCACAGATGCAGCAGTCAGGTATTAAGCCCTAGTAGTATATTATTAACATAAAGTTATGAAGATGGAAAGATTAATTTTCTGTGTTTTTTCATCTTTTACTTTCAGAAATAACTTTGTTCCTAATTATAACCAATGCTGCAAACTGCATCAAAATCTATTTCCTACTGCACATTTTATGTTTCTACTGCATAAAATAATGCCTGTCTGTCTGTCTGGAAATTTCACCTAGCGATGATCTCTCTGCAAGCAACTCTGTGGGGTTCTCGTAGAGGGATAGACATTGTCCTTCATATCGGATCAGTATTTTAGCTGATGATTCATCTGAAGAATTGGTGCTTATTCAGTATCAATTGCTCTTCCTGTAGCTATAGATAATTCTAAAATTCATAACTTCTAACTACCATGTTAACATATTGTTTTATATTTAAAGGACAGGAGGGATTTTAGGTGTGCTATTCAACAACCAATGCAGTATTGAAATAATGAACAGACGTCTGCAATAAATAAATAAATGAACTTTCTTGAGTTGTTTGCGGTTGTTGATTTCTCATTTGTACAGTTTTCATCTCACTCATGCTTTGATGTAATTTTGGTTCTGTACTGACTACTGCAGCCTTACAGATGTAGTTGCAGTTCAACAACATCTGGAAGGCCTTACAAATCCCCATCCCTGATCTTTTTACTTATTGATTTGATATAAATCTAGGCTGGTATCCATATAGTAGTTCAGTTGGGCCTACTATACTGAAAAAGATGGCTAGAATTAGACAGTAGCAAAAATGTATCGGTGTCGCTAGATCAGGGTCCACAAACTTTTTAAACAGAGGGTCAGATCACAGTCCCTCAAACTGTTGGAGGGCCAGATTATAATTTGAAAAAAATGAATGAATTCCTATGCACACTGCACATATTTTATTTGTACTGTAAAATCACTTAAAAACAATACAATAATTAAAATGAAGAACAATTTTACCCAATATAAACTTATTAGTATTTCAATGGAAAGTGTGGGCCTACTTTTGGCTGATGAGGTAGAATTGTTGTTGTTGTTGTGTGCTTTCAAGTTGTTTCAGACTTAGGTTGAACGAGGGCCGGGTAAATGACCTTGGAGGGCCGCATCTGGCCCCCGGGCCTTAGTTTGAGGACCCCTGTTCTAGATGTTTAAAATCCTCCATTGAAAGAACCTATCAAGATCTTCCAGAATATTGTGGAAACCCATCCAAAGCCTATTCAGGAGGATTGATCCTGCAGGAAGATGGAAAGGGGGTGAAGAGGGGAGGGTAATCCTATTACACAGAAAGATTTCTACTCTTAGACATATTAGTGCTATAGAGTTATCTTCCACCAGATACC